AAAAATCAATTAACAAACGGAGACGTAACAATATACTTATCAAACTTTTTCTTAAACTCATTTAAATTTACTGCCTCTACAACATCTGAAGGCAACCCATTCCAAAGGCCAACCACCATGTTAGAAAATAAAACTGTCCTAGCTGAAAATGACTCCTACCTTGCCAAAATATATTTTTGTGTCCCCTAGTCCTACTATTCTCATTGTTAAATATAAAAAAAGATGATACATCAACACTATCAATTCCATTTACAATCTTAAACACCTCAATCAGATCCCCCCTAACTCTTCTTTTTTCAAGAGAAAAGAATTTGAGAGACTTCAGCCTCTTGTCATATGACAACCCCTCCATCCCAGGCACCATTCTAGTAACCCTTCTAGTAACCCTTCTCTGAACTCTTTCCAACAATTCAATGTCCAAGGAGCCCAAGACTGAACACATTATTCCAAATGTGGCCTAACCAGTGACCTGTACAATGAAAGTATAACCTCTTTAGGCTTGTATTCAATAAATATATAGATACAACCTAAAATCCTATTTGCCCTACCACTAGCAACAACACACTGCTTGGATGGCTTTAGAGACTGATTGACTATTACACCAAAATCCCTTTCCTTCACAACATCATTAAGGTTATTTCCATCCAAATTATACTTTTAATTCAAATTATGATAACCCATATGCATTATCTTGCATTTATTATAATTAAAACCCATCTGCCATTTATTTGCCCAACTCACTAAATGATCTAAATCCTTTTGTAAATCAGCAACATCCTCTTCACAGCTAGCAACACTGAAGACCTTAATATCATCTGTAAATTTAAGTAATTTATTGACTATCCCTTCATCTATGTCATTGATGTCAATAAAAAGAGTAAAGGTCCTAAGACTAAGCCCTGAGGTACCCCACTTGTGACATTAATCCAGTTTGACTGAACTCCATTTATAACAATTCTCTGCTTTCTTCCATCCAGCCACTCTTCTGTCCAATTTGCTAACTTATCCCCACACCTATAGAGCTAATTTTCTTTAGTACCTGGGTAAAAACTAACGCATGGTGTACACATATATAAAAGAATTTTCCTAATATTCAAACATTTTCTAGCAAGCTTTCAACAGTTTCACCAGATATATGATCCTAATTAGTTAATACTGACTTTTCAAAAATCTTTAATATTATTGACGAAAAACAAATAGATAAGGCCAAATAGTTTCTATATTGAATGCACAAAAACGTTTTTAAATGCTACTACTACATTTTATTCATTATGGACAACGATTTGGTATATTTATTTTTGTGTTTTTACTCAGCACTATGAAGTTATGATCCTGAATAATCATTCAAAATCAAATAACTAAAAAGCTTTGAATTTCTGCTCAAGAGAGATTTTGGGTCTTCATTAGCAGAAGATCTTGAAAATTATGCTATATAATTCTGGCCTGAAAGATAGACAAACAAATTTCAATGTACATATGTCCATGACCTGGAAGATACATATCAACAGGTCTAGACTAAGTTATAAAGTAGCAACTTCCAGAAGACAGGCATACAGTTGTTGTATCTGAGAGTATACTTTCTTCTTTTTAGCCCAAAGTTTCTTCACAGAATTAGAGTTGTGATCCAGTTAAATAACAATTCTCAAATACTTCTAAGTTGCTTTATTATTACTTATAAATTAATTTTATGATTTTGTATAAATAAGAGAATCTATTGCTTGTGCAATAATTAAACTTTACCTCCATCTTACACTGGTTCTCATTTCAAATACTCTCCTGGAAATTTATCTATAATTTGGTACCAGTCATTTAGTACTGATAAAGTAGAGGATCCTAATTAGAAAACCCACAAGTCACAACTGAATGACAAAGTTGCACATTTCCTAGCCTTGCAATAAAACAGGGGGCAACCTAATTAGCACAGAAACACAGGATGATAAACTAACAAGCCCTGGTCTCACAATAAACTATTAAGTTTTAATCAGTAGACATACAGTTCTAAGTGACAGTCTGACAGACATGCAGATTCTGCTAAACTGAATTGCAAGTTCTGGTCTGGATAACAGACTTACAACAGACTAGTATTTAGAGTCCTAATTATCAAGCATACAAATCCTGGATGTCAGAGTTACAACATTTGGTCTTATAATAAAGTCTAAATTAATAGACATACAAGTTCTGAAACCAGAACTTGTATGTCTATGTCAATGTCAATGGGATAGAATTAGAAGACTTGACTGTCAGACTAGTAAGGTCCTTGTCTCAAGACAAACAATCCTGACCGACACACTTATGGTATCTGTTTGATAGATTTGTGGATCCTGACAGGAGAAATAGACTTAAATGGGTCCTGGTTCTAATTAGCAGACATTCAAGCTATGAGTGAGAGAAATACAAGACCTGAAGTAAGAGTATTTTTGTTTGTTGAATTTCACTCAAAGCTACTCAAGGTCTATCTGCACTAGCTATCCCTAATTTTGAACTGACAGACTAAAGGGAAGGTGTCTAGTCAACACTACCCACTACCAATTCTTGGGTTACTCTTTACTAATGAATAGTTGGATTGACTGTCACATTATAACACCCCATGGCTGAAAGGGTGAGCATGTTCAGTGAGAGGATTCAAACCAGCAATCCACAGATTCTGAGCTGAGTACCCTAACCAATAAAATAAGAGACTAACAGATGATAACATTTAAAACTTACATGAAATCCAGTTATAGCCACTTGATGCATGCTGTCATTTACATACTTCAGGACATCCAACATAGTATCTAAAGCCTCCTGGAGCTCTTCTTGTGCTGTTTCATCATCAGTGTACTTCAACAAATCCTGTACAAAGCATTCTTTACTTAAACAAGTATAAATGCCAATGAAACATAGCTTTGCTATAAAATAAAACTAATTTCTTTAAAATCTTAGAGACAAAATGTAGCAGTATTTTTAAAGTAAACTATAAACAACTTGTTAATCTTGGAGTTAGATATAACCTATTTAATTCATTATTATATTCATGCTTGTATCAATGAATTTTAATACAAGTCATTTTAGAGACCACTTTTTTATGCCAGTTCGGTTTATAATATTCAGCAATAAAACATAATCTTTCCTTTAAAATATAGATCTGAAAGTATCTGATAGTTACAGGTTGCCTATAAAACAAACATATTTCTATACCTTGATAAGTAGCTGGTATTTTGTTATTCTCTGGACTGGTTTCAACAAATATGCTCCTAGTGGTAGTTTGTGTCCCAACTTCTTCTGACATTCCTGTCAAATAAACAATCTTGTAGTTGCTAAAAACATTTCAAGGTAATAAACTGGTATCCATGGATTTAAAGTGAAAATTTATTTTACATTTAACATTTGTCAATATTTAAGTAGCTTTTTCCTTCCATGATAATTGATTATTAAAACTAATACACATTTATAGCATGGTAGGAAATTTACTGTTAGCTTAATTGGTTTTAACTTAAATGAAGCCTTTGATTTGTATATAAAGTCCTTGATTGAGTGGATTATTTACAGTTTTTACTAGCTGGCCACACTACAGCCATGAGCTGAAATGGGCTTTTACCACATCAACCAGTAATAAGAGTACATTTTAATTTTAAAAGATGTTGTAATGACCTTTTGTGGCTTAGCCCTGAATAAATAAACAGATTATGAACAGCGGGAGATACATATGTAAAAAACTGATCAATAAAGCCAAAACTTCTAGACACTGATGTTTCACCATGTATCAAGGCTTTTGATTCTGGTATTGAAGTAAGATAAACTGAAAAAAGCTGTAAAGCTGTCAATGAGCTATAGTTTAAGAGTGGTATTAGAGGTGGCCTTGCATTCAAACCACTGTAAGGCTTTGAGAGTTTTATAATAATATTTACACATCAGAAGCTTTATGATATTTAGTTAAATTCTGTGTATAACTATTAAAGTGAACTTAATCTTAGAACTAGTGTACTTTATTATGGAGCATTCTGTATTAGGACTACTCAAACTTTATGGAATCCATTTGGACTTGTGAGCAACTCTAAATTTGAATAATTCAGATTTTTTTCATTCTCTAAGTCTTGTTTTGAAATAACTGTTTTGATTTGGTTTATTTGAAATATCATGACATTGTCACTTAAATTTGATGAACTCTCCAAAAAAAAAACAAGACAAAATGAGTAAATTTGTAATTAAAAGTAAACATATTAAAAAGAAGTTACTTATACTAAATGATACTAAAGATATGCTAATTAATATATTTGCATGTTGAGCTGCAAGACAGACATTAGTTGTACAATATACACAGTAAAATAGTAGTTTATTTTTTAGAAATTTTGTGATATATTTTTAAAGATATAATCCAAAATATTAGGAAGCAAAAGAAATTGAAAACATTTATATCTAGGCTTGTTGGATATATAAGACTGTTTAGTGTAAGAGTTATTATTTACTTCATTTAGTGATCTAATATTTAATGATTATTTAGTTTTTAAAACAAGAGTGTTTAAAGTTATTTTAAAAGCAATAGTTATGACAATAGTTGTTGGATATATAAGACTGTTTAGTGTAACAGTTATTATTTACTTCATTTAGTGATCTAATATTTAATGATTATTTAGTTTTTAAAACAAGATTGTTTAAAAGTTATTTTAAAAGCAATAGTTATGACAAATTTCATTACTTAACTTAGTGAGAACTGTATGTTGTGTGTGTGTACTTCAATTGTTGTAAATTGACATCATATTACTCAAACCTTCTGTATTTTTCTCATTGCATTAAGTGAGTATTGTTACATCATATCATCTCATAGTTTTTAGAATGTTCTAGGCCTTAGTTGGACAATGTATATATATATATATTGTGAGTGCAAGTTAAGTCAGGAAACATTAAATTAGCGAGTGATATTTTGAAGTGAGTTTCACAGTTTAACAGAGTTAAGGAGAATAATTTGTCTTCTCAAAATTTCTCTATAGTAATTGAACCTGTCTGTGTGAACTTTGATGAAAAGGAGATAACTATTTAAAGTTCTGGATACAACAGGGCTAACCCACAGAGTATCAAGTAAGAAACAGAGTAGAGAAAATTAATTCATCTTGTTAATTGGGTTCTGAAGTAACTGAACCAGCCTGTGTGGACTTTGACGAGAAAAGAGAATTAATTAGAATTTTAGATACAACTGTGATATTCCATAGTGTAAAAAAATTTTATGCATACGTTTGACTTGTTCTGAATATATTATTTTAAAACATGTAGATTGTGTGCTGTAAATTTATTGTTTGAATTTATCACCAACAAATCCCAGTCACCTACTGTAAAAGAATCCTGGTCCCTACATATACAAAACCCTGACATGGCTCTAGTATGTTATATCAGGCATAGACTATCCAATCTTTTGGTGCTTCACTTCTGGTGTACCATTACAAGTAGTATTCTTTAAATTTATAATTATACTTTATTTGAAATTTAAGAATATGTCCTGGAAAATGTAAAAAAAAAAGGAAATATTATGCATTTCTGTTCTTGAATTATTGTTGATTTTGTCAATTTTGGCAGCCTGTTCATGAGTTACAGTTGGATGAGTTATATTTGAAGATCTGTGACTTTCTGTTCTTGAGTCATTGATACCAAAATCAACTTGGGATATCTTATGCCTTCCTTTTCTTGAGTTACTGTTGAATGTTTCATGTTTAGATCTTTATGTTTCTGTTCTGAGTTGCTAAGATTAAGTTATTTCTAAAGTGCCATGTTTGGATATCCTATGCCTTTTTTATTTTCTGAGTTATTATCTGAGGTGTCATGTATGGAGGCTTATGCATTTCTTGAATTATTTTTAGGTAAGTCAAATTTGGATATCCTAGACCTTTCTTTTTTAGCTATCATTGGATTTTTTTATGTTTAGAGCTCTATGCTTTTCTATTCTTGAGTTGTTGAACAGATGAATTTGCAGATGATATGCTTAACTGTTCTTGAGTTGTTGGACAAGATACATTTGTAAGTGATATGATTTACTGTTCTTGAATTGTTGGAGAAGATAAATTTGTAAATGCTATGTTTTACTGTTCCTGAGATATTTGACAAGATGAATTTTTAAATGCCATGTTTTACTGTTCTTGAATTGTTGGATATGATGAATTTGTAGATGCTATGCTTTACTGTTCTTGAATTGTTGGACAAGATAGATCTGTAGATGCTATGCTTTACTGTTCTTAAGTTGTTGGATAAGATAAATTTGCAGATGATATTCTTAACTGTTCTTGAGTTGTTGGAGAAGATACATTTGTAAATGATATGATTTACTTTTCTTGAATTGTTGGTTAAGATAAATTTGTAAATGCTATGTTTTACTGTTCCTGAGATATTTGACAAGATGAATTTTTAAATGCCATGTTTTACTGTTCTTGAATTGTTGGATATGATGAATTTTTAAATGCCATGTTTTACTGTTCTTGAATTGTTGGATATGATGAATTTGTAAATGCTATGTTTTACTGTTCTTGAATTGTTGGACAAGATACTGTAGATGCTATGCTTTACTGTTCCTGAGTTGTTGGAGAAGATAAATTTGTAGATGTTATGCTTCACTGTTCTTGAGTTGTTGGACAAGTTAAGTTTGTAGATGCTATGCTTTACTGTTCTTGAGTTGTTGGAGAAGATACACTTGTAAATGCTATGTTTTACTGTTTTTGAGATATTGGACAAGATGAATTTGTAAATGCTATGTTTTACTGTTCTTGAATTGTTGGATATGACAAATTTGTAGATGCTACGCTTTACTGTTCTTGAGTTGTTGGACAAGATAGATTTGTAGATGCTATGTTTTACTGTTCTTGAGTTGTTGGATAAGATAAATTTGTAAATGCTATGCTTAACTGTTCTTGAGTTGTTGGACAAGATACATTTGTAAATGATATGAGTTACTCTTGTTAAATTGTTCGAGAAGATGAATTTGCAGACGATATGTTTTATTGTACTTGAGTTGTTGAACAAGATTAATTTGTAGATTCTTTGTTTCATTGTTCTTGAATTGTTGAACAAGATGAATTTGTAAATATGTTTTACTGTTCTTGAGTTGTTGGATAAATAAATTTGTAGATGATATGCCTTACCGTTGTTGAACAGTTTTATCATAAGTTCAATTAACTGATTAGTTTACATTACACTATTCATTATAATTGCTACTCATAGGTAACTGATTAGATCAATTAATTGATTAAATCACCATGCTATATTATATTAGTATGATTATCTTGTCCATCAGGTGAGATAATGATAAATTAACTTAACAAATATCTTTTGAAAAGAGTGATATCAGATATAGTGAACTAGCTAGCAAGTCACCAATGATGCCTGCTTGGATAGAACTAGACTAAATTATTTTACCATATTTTCCATTATGTTCGTTATATAGCTTTAAATTTTATGCTTTTTTTCAAAGGTATACAACAGGATTAATACAAAGAAAATGTTTATAAGATAGTTCATAGTCAGCTATAAATCATAATGTGAAACAAACATTAAAAACTAGTATCTACAAATTATATTACAAATGAGTCATTAACTGTATGGTATACACAAGAACCATGCCAATAATAATAATGCTATTTTTTATGGTTATCTCTTTTATGGATAAGAGAGAGAAAGAGAGTAATAAAATTTTTCAATACATTTAATTGTGAAACTTGAGAATCTTTACCTTGAAGAACAAGTTTTCATCCCCACACTGCCTTCTCAAAGCTTCAGATTTGGGCTTGTTCATGCAGTAAGTGCTATAGAGCTTGTGTAAAGCATCTCTCTGTAAAGATGTGGTTGAAACAAATATTGTTAAACGCTTTGTGCATGTAATTGGTACAGTAAATGTTCTAACTCATCATATTCTGTAGCTTTCTGAATATTTGTATGTAAATGGAACCAGTAATTAGCATATGTAGTTAAACTTAAATGAGCTTATCACAGAGAAGAACTCTAATATGTTTTATGTAAAGTTTCTTATCTGTGAAGAGTACATCTTAAGATTTTCACATGGCATATGATTCAATTCTTAAAAACTGAAAAACAAATTTACTGATCAATTCAAACTATTTTTTTGTTTTCAAGAGCACTTCCTTTTTGATAAAATGGTCTCTAACTATAAAGTATGACACTTTTGATAATGTCATCACTCAGAATTAAAGAAAAGACAAAAAATGCACTTCTACTAATACAGTGTGTTCACTTTGTTAATAAAATTTAAATTATTTAAAACTAATAATACCATTCTGGAAAACTGAGCATTCTAGAATAATGTACATATTAAAACACAAACCCTCTGAACAAAACAGTATCCAACCAATTCAGGCATGCTGCTACAGTTCTCCAGGTCCCTTAGGAAGACACTGAAATACAGTTATGAAATGAATGGTTAAAATAATTTCTTTGTGGATATCTTCTAATTAATTTTTCTCCTTTCTGTAGTGACATATAAGATGAATATGTTTTAATTAAGTATATCTTTAATAAAAAATGTAAATATTTTTTTTAATAAATATAAGTACATTTGACAAACGAGGCAAACAAATACAATTCTGTTATTTTTCCTCCAAGGAAATGGTAAAAAAGCTGGAAAAAATATATAGCACTAATGTTTAAGATACAACAATAAATTCTAACAGTTGGGAGTTCCCATCTAATGAACTTGTATCAAATTTTATAGCAAAATAATACAAAAAGGTATTTGTGCTTTATATGCTTTTCCACTTCAGTGTTAAGAATGTCAGTGGTTTGTTTTATGTGTGTACTTGCTTAGCAATTATAAACTTCACAAAAATCTACTCCTTACATATAACAACATGATGAATATATCTGACTGTCAAATGGCTCAATTAAAAAACATTTATCTTTCAATGAGTGAGTGTTTCCACATCAATACATTGTTCCCATTTATACAGACAAACTTCAAGAAGAATTCATAGATGAAATAGCTGAATTTAGCTAGCTGCTTTCTCTTTCTTCCCAGGAAAGTGGAAGAAATACAAACTATACAATTGTACTAAATGATCAGTTTAAATTGTTTTAGTCTATTCCAATTAAAATCATACTTTCTCCTTAAAAATAGCATCTATTGGAAATGTTTATTTGATAGAGAAGAAACTAAAGATAAAAAAAAAGGTGTGAAAAACAAATTTAACTCAAATTCTGGAAATCTTATCACAATATATACTGTCAAATATTTTGCATATTTTTCTTATCTGATGTATGGGTGTGGCATAGAAACATACCAAGCATTTTCTACCTTCTTGTATTAAAATAGTATTATTCTAAATTTATCAGTTATGTCTGATTACATGCAGTTTTCACATAATATGTTGTCAAGAGAGTCATAAGAGTGATTTAATTCAGCTGCCTTTTTTCTTTTGTCACTCTATGGAGGTCACACCTGTTCTGCCCATGGGTGGATGGGTGTAATGCTGCATGTTGAGCAAGAAGGTAGACAGCAGTGTTCTTCAAAGGTTGATCAGGTGGTATTTTGAGGTTACAACCTATGCTTGAATGAGAAGGACCAGTCATGTGGTAGCACTAGTCACTCTGGATAAATCCAATATTAACTGTGAAGTAAGGAACATTGCATTTAAACTGTCTGGTAAATTATCTCAATCTGTCAGTTTGAGAGAACAGTTCCAATCCAGTACAAGTGAACATCCATTGCCAAAAGCAAGTACATACAATGTGTTTATATTACTTTGTAAATAGATTGTGCTTTTTATATTTTCAATTTTTCCTGTTTCATTATTTCCTTCTAGTGAACTCAATGTCCAAAGCAAGTACATAAACTGTGTTTATGTTATATTTTAATAAAAATTATGCTTTTTATATTTTACATTGTGTCCAGTCACTCTTTTTTTTTTCTTTTTTTTTGTTCTCACAAACTCAGGTGTTCATAGAAACAAGTTATTACTCTGTAATGGATATCTTGTCTGATCTCTTGGTATTCAGCTGACCTATCTCACTGCTATAGGAATAATCATTTTTACCTGAACATACCACATAGGCTACAATGGAGAAAATTTTGGTGCCATGATCGAGATATCTTATTGTGCAACTTTCTGCTGGAGTTTGTGTGTGGCCCTTTATTCCTACTCTTGTGTTATTTAAGTTTGAAAAGGCTTTGTGTTAATAAAAATAGCATTTTATACAGCTAATGATAAAGAGTCAGTTGCTGAAGTGAGATTGCTGTACAAAAACATTGTTGAGTCTAGGAAAAGTCATCTCCTGAACATTGGACATTTGCCAAAGCTGTGAAGGTCCATGACTTCTATCCCATTTCAGCTGAGGTCGTAGGAAGAAAAGCTGTCACTGTCTGGTGCACCAAGAACAGCTGTTCATGCTCTTCTTCTGAGGGAAGCATGGATGACTGAGTATCAGAGCAGTGGTATGTTTTCTGAAACTAAATGAGGTGGTCTGTATAGGACTCTTAGACTTTTGCCAGCCAGAGTAACCTGAGAATACAAAGGAGAGACTGGATATTTTATTGGTGGGTTATATCTGCCAACAGAAGTTATCTCACCCAAATAGTGAATTATGAGGCTATATGAGCCTCTCTGAACCAAGAGGTAAACTGCTGAGGCAACCATGAATTACAAAAGAGTCATGGGACACACAAAGCCAGTGGATGAGCTGCTGACAGCACTTCATTGTATAGAGACTGATTACTCACATGAAAGGTGAAGTCTCTGAGTACCATGCTGTGCCCATTATGTTGAGGACATCTCACATCTCAGCCTCATGATGGCTGAGAAGTTGTGAGGGAGAGGTTCCAGCCATGACCAGGGTTCCCATAAGTGAGGCAAAACAGATCACTCCATCAACATTCAAGAGTGTAGCAAAGGAAGTTTTAGGCTACTTCCTGAAGTGTTTCAATCAGTTACCTGCTTGGAATGGCTGGTCTCCAAAGCAGGCTGTAAAATGCTTGATCTTGAGTCAATTGAGTGAGGTATAAGTTTTGGGACTGTGAGATGGTCATAGCCAAGTTGTGCTAAATATACAATATGATGGAAAATCTAGTGGTCCATTGAGCTAAGTTCAAGATAGAAGAGGGGTACCACAGAGAACTTGGCCATCTACATGGATGATTTGCTCCATTTGCACAGTAAGGCTTACTCTGCAATGGTTTTGGCTGATTACGAGGATAACCTCATTGACAAGTTTGTGGAAATGACAAAGCACCACCTGGATTTGAGAGATCTCACCCTTACTGAGGTAGGTTTTGAGGTGAAATAGTACCTTCAAAATAATCACAAAAGAGGCAGAAGGCTGCCTGCAGTGGCTATATCCCAAACAGACCAGACTGTACTAACCAGGCACTCATGTTGCACCAAGCTTGAGCCTAACCAAGGGTTAACCAAACACCCACACATCCCTGTTTTATGATGTAATCACACTGGTATCCTGGTCCTCCCATGGTTTACATGCAACAGCCTATTCCAATCATGCCTCTACCTGGATGTCATCCTTGAAGAGAGGAGCAAAGCATTTGCTTTGCCTGTGGAGCATTGGGTAACTTTCTGAGTTAAATGCCTGTACCCTGATGAACAGCAAGATAGACAAGGCTAATGGTTTTGACCAAGGTCCTGCTGGCACAGAAAAGCCAACAATAGACAGTGAACAATGCTGCTACAGCTCCAGGAAACTAATGAAGCCCAAGTTGGGTCTGGCATGTAGTAAAAGTTTTGGTGGTTAGCCCAGCTCTCTCAAGACTGGGTGAGTCTTGATATGTGTCTAAAAGAGTAAAAGTTCCTGGTTGATAGAGGAGTGGCACACCACTGGTAGATCTCATGGAATATTAGGCACTTAGGGCAAAACCACTAATTTGGTCACTTGATATAAACTTTGTTGTGACAAATGGATATAAACTAGACATGAATGAAGAGGTTACTTCTGATTATGTATAGGAGACATCACTCAAAAAATGCTATGCTATGAGATGGACATACTGTGGAGTTTCTTAGTTATTTTTATTGGTGCAACAGGTGAACTGATGTGCTATGGGAGAGTTATACACTGTCAGCCAAACTAAACTCAGGAACGGTGGACTGCACAAGTTCACATTGGAGACTAAGTCACAGTACCCCATGCACACACAAGTAGTGTTCTATGGTTAACTATGAACAAAGTTTAGTGTGTTAGTGTTATGTTACACAGTTGTAGTGTCATGCATAAAAGAAACTGCTTCCTGTCCAGAAAGCAAGCAGCATTACCTCAGGCAATTATCTGTCTCAGAAGAAATGAAATCTTGGTGTTCTGCAATTATAAACAATTGGTTATTCAGCTTCATGCTGGAATGGGCATTGGCACCATGAGCAATGTGGAAGTAACCAAAGATAGTGATAATACTAGAGATGCATCTATTATGCTGCATCTAAAAGTAAGTATGTGGTACAGTAGTGGAGGATTTTGCAGATGATCTATATTCAGTGCAATGGCAATAACTCAGTGACCTGTTGGCTGAATATCACAATATGTTTGTAGTACCAGATGACAAACTGGGTCAAACAAAAGTCAGACAGCATCACATAGATAGAGGTGTCACAACCATCCAATTACCCAACTGCAATGCAGGCTTCTCTGGAGCACTGGGGATGTAGTACTAATTTACAACAGATGTTAATGCATGGCATCATACAACTTTCAAAGCATGCTTGATCATCTCCAGTAGTAATTGTCAGAAAGAAGGAAGGTATTTCCAGGTTCTGTACTGATTTTAAAAAGGTGAACATGGTATATCACGTTGATGCCTTTCTGCTACCACAAATAGGCGATTGTCTAGATGCATTACATTGGGCCTGATAGTTCAATATGTTAGACCTGGCATCTGGATATTGAAAAAGTGAGCTGGTAGGGAGGATAGAACACTAGATAACAGATCTACAGATGTATGATTTACTCATATACTAACACCTGAGTCTGCAACGTGGATATGCTGATGGATTGTCCTGCAGCACATTCATTGAATGTCTTGATCCTGGACATTGTATAGAAATTGAAAACCTTTCTGCCATAGCTACAAAAAATCAGGCAGTAGGAGATTCCACTCGTGGATGGATGCCATTATTAGTGCTTTAGGAGCTCAATGAAGAGCAACTGAACAACTCAAATCTAGCATGGACATTCCTTGTTGTGCAACAAAGTAAAACATGACTAGCTTTAATTAAGTAATATTGCATGGACACATATAACTACTGACACTTTTATAAAGCTGTACCTCTGCTATCAACCACCAAACAGTGGTTCTCAGCCAGTGTTACAGTTAGTGGTTCTCAGTACTTTGAGGGATGAAATTCTCTAGACTTTTTGTAACACAAAGACTAGAGAACACCAAGGTATTTCTCATACTTGTGCT